ATAAACTGTGTACCCAGAGAGACAAGACTTTTTTGACTACTTGCTTGTGACACAGAAAAAAATCCATTGGAAGTTGTCTCCCTTGGAATGTACAAATTTAAATGTCCTCCAACTTCAGATTCCTTCTCTGGGGCTGAACCGTCAGTTTTGAAGTTCCCAGAGCCATTGCTCATGGCCGTCCATTTCTGCCTTTCTGTCTCAGACACACTTTTCTCTGTATTTCCTTTCCTCCCGCCCATCTCTACTCCAAGGCTAAGTCCTTTTTCTTGGTTCTCCATGACTCGGATTTTACCTAATGAGTTAATTTTAAGGCTTAAAATTAGTGATTCTATGTCCTTTTCCTGAGTCTCCGTGTCTTTAACATCAGTAGAGGCTCCTGAGAGGTGATCCCTGCCTCTGGAATCTCTCTCATTGCTAGACAATGACGTTCTTACTCTTTTAACCTCACCACTCAGATTCTTTGGAGAACTGTAATTGTCACCAATGGGCACATCTAGTAATTTTACTAGAAGCTCCTGTCTTTGGGGATTAATTTTGTCCAATTTTAGATCAGAAGTGGTTTGTACATTATTAGGTACGGCTGAGGAATATTTTCTTTCTTGATCTGACAAAGAAAGTTCCATCGAGCCAACCAGTAAAGATGCTTCAGCTTCTGAAGGATTCCATCTGCTTTCCCCTGATTTAGGCAAATCTCTGGCAACTTCTCTCTTAGGAGAGGTGTTCTCTGGTGCATAAAACTGACCCTTGGTTTCTCCTTGGAAAGTAGTCTTTGGTTCAGACTTTTTTAACATTTTGGAGGAGAGCTGAATTTGATTCTTGATGTCTTTATCTGCCTCTGTAGTACTTGCTCTTTCCAAACCAACAGCTGGTAGTGGGAAGGACTGAATTGTCTGTTCTGGTTTGTCCATTATCAATTTAGAATTTCTTTTCTCACTTTCTGTCTCTAACTCCATCCGTTTAGCTTTCATTAAATCTTTGATTGGCCCTTTCAATTTTTTAGCACGTGGGAGCGTACCTGGGTTGGACTCATAAGCCTTTCTATCAGCAGGTATGGTTGGTCCCGCCATCTTACAGTATGGCAAGTGGGATTTTAATCGTTTAAACGGCTTCCTACAATAAGGACACAATTCCATTCTGGGTGGAGTATCACTCATCTTCTTCCTGAAAAAGGTAAATGTGAGGTTCTAAGAAGCACAGAGAAAATACCAGTATTTTTTTTTTTTAACGTATCATTACCTTTTATTTATTTTATTTTATTTTGAGACAGAGTCTTACTTTGTCAACCTCAGTAGAGTGTTGTAGCATCACAGCTCACAGCAACCCCCAACTCTTGGGCTTATGTGATTCTCTTGCCTCAGCCTCCCAGGTAGCTGGGACTACAGGCACTTGCCATAACGCCCGGCTTTTTTTTTTTTAAGAGATGAAGTCTCGCTCTGGCTCAGGCTGGTCTTGAACTCCTGAGCTCAGGCAATCCACCTGCCACCTTGGCCTCCCAGAATATTAGGATTATAGGCAAGAGCCACTGTGCCCAGCAGTGTCATACCTTTTAAATTAATTCGGAAGAAGCTTGGTTAAAGGAAACTTTAAAAAAATTTTTTTTGTCCTTTTTTTTTTTTTTACAGGAATAGAAAAATAAAAGATAAAGATTGGTTTTCTTTGTTTTGTTTTTTTGGAGACAAAATCTTACCTTGTCACCCTTGGTAGAGTGCTGTTGCATCACAGCTCACAGCAACCTCCAAGTCTTGGGCTTAAGGGATTCTCTTGCCTCAGCCTCCCAAGCAGCTGGGACTACAGGCGCAGGCCACAACACACAGATATTTTTAGAGATGAGGTCTTGCTCTGGCTCAGGCTGGTCTAGAACTCCTGAGCTCAAGCAATCTGCCCACCTCAGCTTCCCAGAGTGCTGGGATTACAGGTGTGAGCCACTGTGTCCCGCCTATAGTTTGGTTTTAAGATAAATATTCCTAGCTCTCTCTAAGCTTGGTAGTTCACATTTTTAAAAGTATTCTTGGAATCCATCAATACAAAAGACAATGAAGAGATTTTGCAATGCCCCTAACAAGGAGGTGAGAAAGCCCATGTCAAATAGTGAGCCAAAGGAAAACACGCCCAAATACCAGCCAGGACAAATGTTTGCTATTTAAGGTTACAGCACATCAATAAATATCACATGAATATAAAGAAATTATTTAAAAACCTTTAAACACATCATTCAAGGACAGCATGGTAAGGAAGAAAATACTCAGGATCCAAAGATTTCTAATTAGAACACAGGTTTCCAAAAGGATATATGGAAGATCCACTGGGCTACAAGAGAAAATACTAGAATGCCTATAATCTAAGCATGAGAAATGAAGCTCTAGGCTCGGCGCCTGTAGCTCAGTGGTTGGGATGCCAGCCACATGCACTGAGGCTGGTGGGTTTGAACACAGCCTGCTAAACAACAATAACAAAAAAACAGCTGGGCGTTGTGGCCTGTGTAGTCTCAGTTACTGGGAGGTGGAGGCAAGAGACTCCCTTAAGCCCAAGAGTTTGAGGTTGCTGTGAGCCCTACCAAGGGTGACATAGTGAAACTCTGTCTCAAAAAAATAGTTAATATGCATATATATACACATACCACATAAAATGCATGTGCAAAGCACAAACAAATAAAAGGAGGGAATGTGGCACCCAGCTTCTGGTTATACATACATAGCTTGTAGTAAAATGGATTACCGGCAAATTTGTTTTGACATCTTTGTTAAAGATATGTAAGAAAATTTTACATTTATACTCTGTATCATTTGCAGCTCTGTGTCATTCTTTAGAGTTGGGGAAAAGACAATGTTTTATTCCAAACAATTCCAAGGTTGGAAGTTGTTTACTTTTGGGGTTTTTTTTTTTTTGCAGTTTTTTGGCCAGGGCTGGGTTTGAACCCACCACCTCTGGTATATGGGGCCAGCACCCTACTCCTTTGAGCCACAGGTGCCGCCCAGAAGTTGTTTACTTTTTTACACAGTTCCAGTGGACAGGGGACATATCTATCCTGTGTACAGCTGTATTCTCAAAATCTAGCACTGAGTCTGGCATACAGTATTTGTTGAGTGAACTGTCTCTAGATACAAACACGCAAATATTATTATTCATTCATAGTAATGAATGACATTCATTACATTCATTATTATTCATTCATAGTAATGAATGACATTCATTACTATGACTGAGAATATCTTCTGACCATTAATACATCTAAATCAAAAAGTAAACTTTGCTGTTTTTGTTTTTGTTTTGTTTTTGAGACAGAGCTTACTCTGTCACCCTAGGTACAGCGCCATGGCTTCACAGCTCACAGCAACTTCAAACTCTTGGGCTTCGAAGCAATCCCCTTGCCTCAGCCTTCTGCATAGCTAGAACTACAGGGTGTTCGCCACTACCCCAGATAGTTTTTCTATTTTTAGTAGACACAGGGTCTTGTTCTTACTCAGACTGGTCTTGAACTCCTGAGCTCAAGCAATCCACCCATCTTGTCCTCCCAGAGTGCTAGGATTACAGGGATTGAGCTACCACACCCAGCCCCAAAAGCAAACTTTGAACTCAAACTGTATACTTAAGTAATTCTATGGCATGTAAATTTTACACCAATAAAGCTGTTTAAAAATCATTTTTTTTAAAAAAGCAAATTTTGAAACGACTTACCAAATATAAATAGATAAAATCTTAGCCAATCAATTTATCAAAGCAACCAACCTACCTTATCGTGCATGAACTTATGCAAAACTAAACTGTTCTCTGCCTCTGACTACATTATTTATTCTTACTTTGGAGTACACATTGGCAATACGAGGAAAACTAGAGACCGTTTATTCACAAAATTACACACAAATGAAGCCAGTCCAAGGGGCTTTGGCCAATAACTTTAAAAAGGACTTGAGACCTCTGTTAGACGTTTCTGCCTCTACAGTATACCACCTCATACTTAATCCTACTGGAACCATCTCTGTACATTTATAATATATGGTGAGGGCTCAATGTGGGTGCCTGTTTTCTTACCCGAGCTCTTCTAGGATATTAATTTTGCAGTTGTTTTTCTTGGATCCCCATGCTTCCCAATCATCGTTCCTGAGTTTGGCAGAATGAACTTCAATGTTAGCCTGTGTAAGACACAATCAGAAGTAACTCGATGTCACACCCAGTGAGTAAATGTGGCGCGCTGGTGAACCAAATACAAATACAGTAACTGGCTATCTACTTGGCAGCTCTCCTAAGATGTTCCGGAAAGCAGCGAATTACAATTTCACCAGCCTTTTGAGCACAAGACAGATCTCACGGTTTAGGTTAAACTTCACTTCACTCCCCAAGCTCTCCAGCCGACTCCTCCCAGGGCGTTACCTGGCCTGCCTTCCTCTCCACACCCCTCCTTTTGCTGAAAACTGTCTTGCTGCTTCTAGCCGGGTGGAAGGGGATTGCCGAGCAGCTCTCAGGTCGCGGGTCAGCTTCCCGCAGCCCCACAACAGGGCTGGGGGTTCACACTGCGGGTCCGGGAAGCCCCTCCGCCTGGCCTCGGCACCGGGTCCACTTGTCTCTCGCCTCAGGATAGCCTCCCTCGTACCCAGAATGGGAGCAGTGAACAGCCCCGCCCTCCGGACCCGCCGCAGAGCAGCCCGCTCACCTCCGAGGACCAGAAAGGCCAGGAAGACCCCGCAGCAAGCCCACCAGCGCCCCCTCCTCCCAACAACCCCTGGGAGCCGCGGCAGGCCATCTGCGCCACTGCCTAACTGGTCTGGCCTATTTTTTTAAAATTGTTACCTCACAAAGATAACTAAAATACGTGCATAATAGTGTTATGAAATAATTTAATTTATTGAAAATGTGGCTTGGCTTTTATACGGCACCCGGCGCTTTAGCAGTGAACAGGCGAAAGCTCAGGCCACCCTCCAGAGAGGTCCTCTCTCCCAAAAGCCCCCAGTTGGTCCTCCCCCCTCCAAGCCCGCCTCTTCCTGTGGGCGGGGTTACCGGTCGGCGCGGCCGGGATCGCACCACTGCGCAGCCGCGAGAGGGCGGTACCACGGCGGCTGCGACATGGGGGGGCGCGGAGGGGACGCCGGAAGTGGTGGTGGTACGGAACCGTCCGAGGGGTACTCACCGCCGGCAGCGTCCACCAGAGCGGCGGCTAGAGCCAAGGCCCGAGGGGGTGGGCGTGGCGGTCTCCGAAACGCAGCCCGCTCTGCTCCCTCTACTCGCGGAGTGGCGCCTAGTCGCTCCCCGCCGCCAGCTGCCATGAGTGAGCGCCTCCGCCCCAGGTGAGAGAGAAGGGACCCCCTTCCTTTCTAGCCCCTCGCTTGGGATCTGAGGGATGGCCCGGGGGGCGCGCGAAGCGGGGATCCGGAGCGAGCGTGGACCCTGCGGGGCTCCATCTGGGGTGTTTTGCGGACCGGGGGAGGGAAGAGAGATGCGCGAGTGATCGGTACCTGCTCCCTGTAGTGGGCTGGAGGGGCGACTCCAGGGTTCAGTTCTCCCGCCCCTCCATCTTTTCTCCCCCTCCCTTCTATCTTTTACTGTTTGGAATGAAGTGTGTTTGGTCCCGGAAGAGAGACGGTGGCCCTAAAGCTTCCCTGTCCTAAATTTAGGCGGGCGGGGGGATGGGAGGAACATCTGATCTTTGGGAGGGAGCCCCCTAAGGCTTAAGTGAGGGCTCGGGGCGGGGAGCTACCTCCTCCCCAAGGTCAGAAAGAAGGGTTCGGCTTACCCTCGAAGTAGGGAAGGATTAGGTTATACCGAAGAATCTGCCTTGGACGGCTGTGAACACAGAAAGGCAGATGAGCAAGGTGGGTTGTGGATGCTCTCTGGACTGTAGCATTAAGAACAGGTGGAATTCTAAACTGTTTGCATGCGGAGCCGTTTGACTCCGAAGGCGGGAGATGGAGCTGTGTCGCGATGCGCTTGTTACCTTCCCACTTGAGCCTGGCTTCATGACCTGAGTCTTCATTTAGTGGTTTTATGGTTGACTTGTACTGAGACTACAGACCAAACTGGGATTTCTCCCCCCCCCTGCTCCCACTTCTTCTGCAAGAAGATGGGGAAGAGATAGTTGGGGTGGATACACCAGAATGAAGAGAGTGAGCTTTATTTCAAATTAGAAATACCTCATTGTGGAGCTTGAAGTGAAAAATCCATAGATTACCAAGTCCAACGCTTTTATTTTTCTGATGAGGAAACAGATTTAGAAAGATCAGTTGATTTACCTAGGTGTTGATCAGGTTCACCGCGTTTTTCTTTATTCCATAATGGTCTCAGACATAAATGAATAAGGTGTAGATTGGTGTAGTTTACCTTGGTAGATTATGCTCGATCTTTCCGTGTTTTTCACTGGCTCTAAATGCAATTGGCAGTTCTTTCACAAGGACCTTTCCCTGAAATAATTATTTCGTGGGATTGAGATTCTCAAAAGCATCCCGAGGTTATTTGGTCCAATAGTGAAACCTGAGATTCCCCAAACTGCTGCATTGGAATATTGATTTGGGTCATATAGCAAGTGGAGCATGAAGCCTCTACTTGTATAGAAAAGAAGACTGAATTTGAAATTAGGATCTCAATTACAGACATGCTATTGGGATTAGGAACAAGATCTTTAGGTATAGTAACCCTTATCTGACTGCCATTTTTTCCCCCTTTCCAAGTTCTTTTTATACTTCTGATATCCTCTTAGGTTGTCTCACATATCTGAAAAAGTCTATTTCCTACAAAAAGTTCCTTTTATCCAATACTGAACACAAGTAATCTGATTGTCTTTATACCAGTAGTAGTAGATTCCTTTTATCTAGTACACAGATAATCTCAACATGTTTATACTGGTAACTTCTTTACTCTAAAAGAGTCATTTGATTTGGACAGGTTTTTCTTGCCTACCTTCCTTTTCATCCTATGTTTCATGAAGTATAATGGACCTACAGTGCCAGCCCCAGCTATCTTACTGTCTCCAAGTCAGCTCACTTCTTTCTAGATCTGTTTCCTCAAGTTTAAGATGACGGGTTGGTCTGAGCTGGTGGTTTTTCAAAGGGATGTATGGCAAGAGAGTCCCTACTTTAAGCAGATTATTTGTCTTTTACATATATTGAGAGTTTTTCCTCTGATAAGAAGAAAAGAATTCTATTACTTTAAAAAAAGTTTGAAAATTACTAATCCTTATATTCTTAAAATTATTTCTATGATCAGTCTCTAGAAGACAACAGGAAGCATGGAGAGAAATGAAGTGATGATTGATGGAATTAGCCATCCTTAGATGTAACACGTGCTAAACAATAATCTGTATCTGGGTGACTAGGGGAGAATATCAATTTTAGGGTTTTGGCTAAAATTATAACTGGATCTATGGCATTAATGCCAAGAGCTATAATCTGATTGGTTGTATTGATAGAAATGAGCGGGAAGCAGTAATCTGGCCAATCATTGCCAATATTGCTGAAAGAAGAATTTTTCAAGGATGAAGTCTGCTAGGATCTTAGGAAAAGGAGACTGAAGAATCCAGTGTCATCCAAAGAC